ACTTGAGGTCGGCAAAATGTTTTTTCTTCAACGACAGAAAAATAATCCACATGCTGTGATGAAGGATGGAAAGAAAGTAGCAAGTTTTCAACGTGATGTCTCAAAAGTGCTAGCTCCCGTTATGAATTCACAGTTGGCGAAATGCTACGTTTTGAAACCAAAGCTAAGTGTTTCAAACCCCCGGTTCAAACCACTCACCAAGGTATGGATCGTTGCAATATTGCAATATTGGATTCATCGTGAATGAAGAGAAAGCAGAACGTGTGTGCCACATGCTGCGTGGTTCATCTTACGTCGTTAAGTTCCAATGAGTTTTTACGTAAAAACACAAACAAAACGGCCCTTTTCAGGGCCACCACACACTCCAAAAGGAGAACTACCGTAACAAACACACTATTTAAATAAATTGAACGCGTTCGTTTTTGACTAATAAAACTTTATTGTTGACCCCGTTCTTGGCTAAAAATCACCCTGGGCGTTTAACCGAGGATGTCCCCAACATGTAACTTTTGTGAAAACAGGGGGGTGGGCGCTTGCCCAGGAAGGGGCGCGTGCCCAGGGTAATACGGTACTACTACTATATAAATACTACTGTTAAATATTTGCACCATACAAACCATGCTGATATTGGGTGTGATATTTGGGGCATATCAAAAATATCACATGGCATGATACAATAATATTTGTATTTGTATCTCCTACTATTTTCTGATTTATCATTTAGTTGGTGATGATTTGGTGAGTTCAATTGGCAGAGGGTTATGTGTACTGGTGGGAATCTCTAAAGATGACACAAAGAAGGAAATAGAGTTCATGTAAGGATCTTAAGTAAATACTTGCCAGGTTACCCGCTATACTTTAATAGTTGTTATTGTGTGACCAGTTGTCATGGATATGCTGTTGTTCATATTTTTTTTAATTATTTTTGTATCCATCTAGGCTTGTCTACAAAAGCTAAGAAAGTTTTCAAAATATTTATGAAATATAAACAATTCTTCTGTGACTTGCATGTAAAAACCTGCTACTATTTCTATTCTTTTAATCATTTTTTTATTCAGTGAAATTTGTGTTATGATTTTTTTTCTGATTGCCATGTTTCTGATTCTATTTTCAACCTAATAATTGTTTTATTTTACATGTACCTCTACTTTCAGGGTGAGAAAGATATTAAACTTACGGATATTTGATGGTGATGACCAGAAAAGGTGGATGAAAAGTGTGAAAGATAAAAATTATGAAATATTATGCATTAGTCAGGTAAATCTCAGTGATTTATGTCTTAAGGTAGTGGGAGGGGGAAAGGAGACTAATAATTTAATTGTGATTAGGATTTTCCTTTCCAGTTACTATGCATGCAGCTATGGCAATATATATTTTTAGAAAGCTGAGATATATGTATAAATATTTGCTCAGGGGTTAAGTTACGGATATTCTTGTGAATCTCCAAAAAATAGGGTTTTTATGCAGGATTGGCAGTTTCTTGTTTGTTCTTTCTATGAGTTTGATTGTTTCTTAGAATTTTTATGTGACTCTTAGTTCTGGAGATATAGTCTGTGAACTTTATGGACTAAGTTTCATGAATGTATTCATGATCTTATTAGAACTCAAAAGTCAGCGGCTTGCTGGAAAGTCTCAGACATCATTTTTAGACCATTTCGCATTGAATAGATGGTGTAATTTGTGCATTGTTAGCAGACATGGTTGGCCATCTTACAAGACAGGTAAATGTTCTATAGGACATGGTTTCCATCTTATAAGACAGGTCAATTTTCTATAGGGCATAGGTGGCCATCTTAAAAGACAGATAAATTTTCTATAGGGCATGGTTGGCCATCTTAATAATAATAATTTTTGTATATTCACAAAAACTGGTAAATTAAGTAACTTCTAACCAATAAAATCTGTTATTAGTCCATGTGAACTCATTGTTTCGCTTAATCCATGTGAACTCATTGTTTCACTTAATCCATGTGAACTCATTGTTTCACTTAATCCATGTGAACTCATTGTTTCACTTAATTCATGTGAACACATTGTTTCACTAATAATCCATATAAACTCATTGTTTTCACTTAATCCATGTGAACTCTTTGTTTTACTTAATCCATGTGAACTCATTGTTTCACTAATCCATATAAACTCATTGTTTCACTTAATCTATGTGAACTCATTGTTTCACTTAATCCATGTGAACTCATTGTTTTACTTAATCCATGTAAACTTATTGTTTCACTTAATCCATGTGAACTCATTGTTTTACTTAATCCATGTGAACTCATTGTTTTACTTAATCCGTGTGAACTCATTGTTTCACTAATAATCCATATAAACTCATTGTTCCACTTAATCCATGTGAACTCGTTATTTTACTTAATCCATGTGAATTCATGTTTGACCTCAATCCATGTGAACTCATTGTTTCACTAATAATCCATGTGAACTCATTGTTTCACTTAATCCATGTGAACTCATTGTTTCACTTAATCCATATAAACTCATTGTTTCACTTAATCCATATAAACTCATTGTTTCACTTAATCCATATAAACTCATTGTTTCACTTAATCCATATAAACTCAGTAAATATCAAATTTTAAGATAGTGATGCTTTCACAGTATTTTCTATAAGAGCTGTATGGGATTTTGATCTGTTGGACATTCATTGTTATCTTAACAGACTTTAATTGGTTTCGTACTTGGTATTATTATTTGATACAAGTTTTCCAAATATGCATCAGATAAAGACCTGTAGACACAGTGACAGTGAACTACAGTATTTATACTGACAACGCCCTCATATATCACAATTATAATATTATGAGAGAAAGCTTTCAATAGTTTAAATATTTTTCATTGCAGTTTACACTTTGTTGTACATTGAAAGGCAACAAACCTGACTATCACCTTGCTATGGGAGCAGACAATTCACAACAATTTTATGAAGAATTTTTAGCAGCTTTAAGAAAAGCCTACAAACCAGAACTCATTAAAGGTAGGCTGATAGAATCCATCATCATTTTTTTAAACAGCTCCCCCCCGCTCCATTAGATATTTTCCCCAGAGAGTCCCTGCTTGTTCTTATTCAAAGAACAAACAACACTTTCATTAGAGTAACATTTCATTTTTTTAACTGAGTGACCATAATTAATGCAAGTTCACAACAACTTCCAAGTCATGTGACTGTATGACTGCATTTAACAAGAGAAAAGATAATTTTCATGGGAAATGATGTAAATAGCAACTATGCCATAATTTGCAATCATGTGATCAACTTGCCAATTTCCTCTCAGTTCTCTGTTTGGCATGCCAAATTCTGCAATGAACACATTTCACATAAATAAACATTGAGTGTAAAGCTAAAAATAAAATGATGGACATCTGAAGCCAGTGGGAAATTATGTTACAATTATTATAATGTTATATTATAATCATTGGAGAAAGATAATATTTTGTAATATTGGTTGAATGTCAACAATAAAAAAGTATAAAAACATGAACATTACAACATTTACCTCTCAGATCTCATATTTGAGAGGTTGACATCAATTCAAGGGTGAGGTGGTATGAGAGAGGACAGTGAAAGAGTAGCTGTGCAAGTACTTGTTTCCTTACATTAATTCTGCTTGCTATTTTGGGCATGATTGTATTAATGAATGAATTTCCTGTACTTTGTTTTATTTTGTTTACATTGACTTATTTTCATAAACCCCAACTGTGTAATATTATTTCTGCAGATTTTCTCCCAGTCTTTTAACCCCCTCCCATTTGAGGTTCTCAAATATTTACCCTTTTATTATATATTTATAAATTGCTAGCTTTAATTTAAATACATTCTTATGTATATTAGGTTGAGGTATAAAATCAATATGTCCCATGCATTTAGAATCTGATTTACAAATTAACTGGCAGTCATTTTCTTGATTGCTTGTATTGCCAGCTATATCTCATTAATACTCATTTACTGGGAGGCAATCAAATCACAATAAATGCACTCTTCAGTATACTTACAATTATATGACTTAATTACTATTATAGTAAAGTGTGCAGACACACCCCTTTGTTCATGTAATTGATGAATGAGTCAGGTTTGTTGATTTGGTGGGTTTATGAATATGGTGAGGAGTTTTACTTGTACGTCTGCAGATATTTTCAGGTTTTATTACCTCCCTGGGCAGCACAATGATACTGCTGGAAATATGCAATATCTTATGTATAAATATAATTTGTTGAATTTCCCACTAACAATTTGCACACTTTCTATATTTTGGTGTATTTCTGATCAAATGGTCATAATTTCCCATTCTTAATTAAAATATTATGTTTAAATATTTTTGTTATTCACAATGTGTTAAACATTGAATAGCATTCATGGAAGTATTCAAAACTCTTTGAAATGTGAAAATATGATTAGAATAGAATAGAATAGAATAGAATAGAATAGAATAGAATAGATTTATTCCACCAGAAAAAAGAGACAATTGTACAGGGAACTTTATCTGAATGAATAATAATAATATATATATTATTCCTGGTGGGGACCAGAGAGGTAGTTCTAGCAGAACTAATCTAGTCCCTGGCCCCAAAACCATACTCAACTGTTAAAATATACGTTGTTGTGAATAGTGATACACAAAAAAAATTATATTGTTAAGTTATAAATAAATAAATAAATACATAATTAAGTAAGTAAAGAGACTACAAACTCTCATAATCAATAATAATGAAGAAAACAAAAATAGACAATACTAATACCATATACTACAATAAT